TCTTCTTTTATGGAAAGCCATAGCTGGCTTAGAGTGATCATAGTTAACTATGGAGTGATCAAACGCCATTGTTGGGTGCTTTTAGCATTATACGGCGGTGCGTTCGGCATTATACAAGGTGCTTTCGCCATTATACGCGGTGGTTCCAGTGTTATACGCGGTGCTTTCACCATTTATATACGCGGTGCTTTTGCAATTATACGCAGTGGTTCGAGCACTATATGCGGTGCTTTTAATATTATACGCGATGCTATCTTTCATTCAACATTATTTCCATATTCTTTCCATGACATGTATATGATTTAACGATTGCTTAAATTTGGTATGTGGTTGACAAATGCTTTTTGCCTATGGTCTGCATGGACAATGACATGCTTTTCTGTGTATATAAATGAATATAACGCAGCGAATGCGCCAAACAGTATAAACGCGGCTGAAATACGATATTAAAATCTTAAATGTGCCGTATGATTTTTTAATTATGTTTTGGAATTTACAAATGCTTTGTCATTTGTATTTATACTTGTACTGCATCACAAGGCAGTACGTAAGTGAAAAAATTCCACATGTGAGATTGTCTTGTATACATTTTTGCTTTCTTTGATAAACATTAAACACGCAAATTTTAATTAGTGAGACGCAATGTTAAATGTCACCTGCATGTCATTGTCATTGCCCTTTAACCCCTGGTCTAATTGGCCGCTTTTGAAAATGTTGATCATGACGAACCGCACTGCCTTAATTATGCAAACTTTGTGTTTTAAAAACGGGTTAGGATAAAACGCAGATACGGACGGACGGATGAATGACAGACGGACGGATGGCGACGGACGGACCGGACGGATGACATACCGTATTTACTCGTTTGAGCGCCGCCCCCGATTGAGCGCCGCCCCCGAATGAGCGCCGCATTTGAGATCAATTTTTTTAAAAGAGCGCCGCCCCCGAATGAGCGCCGCACTAAACAGTGTAATAATTTTCCACCGTCAAAATGGAGACATTTAGTGACAAAGACATTGAAATCTTGTTTATTTTATTGTTAAAAGTTCTTCATATAATCCACAAATAAAAGATTTTTTTGAAGAGCGCCGCCCCCGATTGAGCGCCGCCCTCGAATGAGCGCCGCATCTGAAGCTCTGAAAATTTAAAGAGCGCCGCGGCGCTCAAACGAGTAAATACGGTATATATGTCATTATGTCATTATTCATATTGAAGCACTCTTTACCAAAGTTAATCAACGTCTTGGTGTCATACGAAGAGTTAAACACCTCCTAACTGTTGAATCTCGTCATACTCTAGTAAACAGCCTTGTCATGCCGATCTTTGACCACGCTGATTTTGTGTGGGGTGATAAAAACAACTCTGTCCTGATGAACCACCTTCAAGTTCTTCACAACAAAGCCGCTAAAATCATTCTTGACGCTCATCCACTCTCGTCAGCCTCAGAATCCCTACGATCGTTAAATTGGCAGCCGTTAGCAACTCGTAGACACCTTCACCGTTGTCTAATCATGCACAAGTGTTTAATAATAATAATAATAATAACAGTCTTTATTTATACTCAAGAACACCCGTCTGTGAGTTTACATTATAAAAATATATAAGATAAAACAATGACATCGATTTTAAATTTAATTTCAAGTTCTCCTCTGACATCCACAGCTACAACACTCGAAACAAACAGAACATACATTTGGAACGCGTCAAGAAGAACTGGGGGAAGCAGGCATTCAGCTACCATGCTGCCAACGACTGGAATAGTCTGCCAGTGGAAATCCGAAATATACAGCAAATTAAAACTTTTAAAACTAAACTAAAGAAACATTTAGCTACATAGCCATAGGACTCACTACCGAACCGATTGGATGAGCAAGAACTTTATACGATATAAGTCGATATAACTTTTCATATATTCACTTTTGTTAGTTTTATATTTTTATTCTTTTATTTTTTTTTATCAGGGCTCCACTGAAAATCACTTTCGTGAGTGGACCCCCTGACTAAATATTGTAATTATTATTATTATTATTATTATTATTATTATTATTATTATTATATAGTCTGCGCGCAGCCGCGCAGGGTAGTTAGTGGCTTACGTCTTCGCTGGTTGTTATACTTTAAAATAATTTTGTATATACCGAGAAATCAATATTCCGAGTATATAAATATATAAACTGGGATGTCACACGGTGGTTTAACCCATTAGCTGGCAATGCGCCCTTCCCTTGTCCAACGCCAGAAGATTTTACTCGTCAGTGGTATAGGGTACTGCCAGTAAATGGGTTAACAAACCTATCTGCCAATGGCTCTTGTTAATTCATCAACACAGTCGAGAACACAGTAATGGCCCCTACTTTAGTATTTACCCTGTCCAACGCCAGACGATTTTTAATACTCAGTCAGTGGTAGGGTACTGTCAATAAATGGGTTGACAAGGATAACAATAATAGGATGTTTCTGAAGGACTCGTTCAACACCCTGTAGTTTGCCAGTTTGCTGTCAAAGGCAGCATTACTGCCCTGTGGGTAACCTAGTTTTGTGGGTCGAAATCAAAATTTTCTATTTGGCGCATTGCATGACGGTACCAGTGAATTTTAACCGTGGTGCAGCGCGGTCAGGCATAAGGCAAACAGGCAATGTGATCATGTTTCATCTTTGGTCTTCTTTTATACAACTAAGTGAACACATATTCTGGACAATTTGCTGATAATATGGTGACTGGTGATAAAATTGGATAATATAGGAATTAAGATCATGATATGCAAGCCATAGCTGGCTTAAAGTGATCAAACGGCATTTTGTTGGGTGCTTTTAGCATTATACGGCGGTGCTTTTGGCATTATACACGGTGCTTTCGCCATTATACGCGGTGGTTCCAGTATTATACGCGATGCTTTCACCATTTATATACGCGATGCTTTGCAATTATACGCAGTGGTTCGTCGAGCACTATATGCGGTGCTTTTAATATTATACGCGATGCTAGCTTTCATTCAACGTTATTTCCATATTCTTTCCATGACATGTATATGATTTAAGGTATGTGCATGGTTGACAAATGCTTTTTGCCTATGGTCTGCAAGGACAATGACATGCTTTTCTGTGTATATACATGTAAATGAATATAACGCAGCGAATGCGCCAAAGAGTATAAACGCGGCTGAAATACGATATTAAAATCTTAAATGTGCCGTATGATTTAATTATGTTTTAGGATTTACAAATGCTTTGTCATTTGTATTTATACTTGTATACTGCATCACAAGGCAGTACGTACTTTAAGTGAAAAATCTCCACATGTGAGATTGTCTTGTATATATTTTTGCTTTCTTTGATAAACACTATTAAACACGCAAATTTTAGTTAGTGAGACGCAATGTTAAATGTCACCTGCATGTCATTGTCATTGCCCTTTAACCCCTGGTCTAATTGGGCGCTTTTGAAAATATTGATAGTTAGCTAGTGCCTTACGTCTTCGCTGGTTGTTATACTTTAGAATAATTTTGTATGTACCGAGAAATCAATATTCCGAGTATATAAATATATAAACTGGGATGTCACACTGATAGCTTGTTTACATTTCCTGGAGCATCATGAAATCTTATGTTTAACCACGGTGGTTTAACCCATTAGCTGGCAATGCGCCCTTCCCTTGTCGAGCGCCAGAAGATTTTACTTGTCAGTGGTATAGGGTACTGCCAGTAAATGGGTTAACAAACCTATCTGCCAATGGCTCTTGTTAATTCATCAGCACAGTAATGACCCCTACTTTAGTATTTACCCTGTCCAACGCCAGACGATTTTTAATACTCAGTCAGTGGTAGGGTACTGTCAATAAATGGGTTAACAAGGATAACAATAATTAGCCTGCATGGCAGGCGGTATTTCCAGGCTTGCCCAATTTTAGGAACCGCCTGCCATGCAGGCTAAACAATAATAGGATGTTTCTGAAGGACTCGTTCAACACCCTGTAGTTTGTCTTTTGCTGTCAAAGGCAGCATTACTGCCCTGTGGGTAACCTAGTTAGATTGTTGTTGTCGTTGTGTGAAATTTAAATTTCTCCTACGACATTTTGATTGGATACTAAATATAAACTTTGCTGTGGGCGGAAAGCGATCAGGTTAAATTTTGTGTCAGGCTCTATTTGTAATATAGAGCCTGATACTCAGGTTACCCAACACACGGCCCAACATCGTTGGTGAGCGCCCGCGATAATTGATGAACTTTAGACTTCGCTAATGCTTTCGTTTCCCCGGGTGTAAATAGCTGGGGGGAATTAGTACCCTCGCACGGCATTCGGGGATGATGTTGGTGATGTTACTCTGAGTCTATATCCACACCGGGCAAGCTTGAAAAATATGCTTGACCATGGTGGAAATCGAACCTACGACCTTTGGAATACTAGCCCAATGCTCTGCCAAATGAGCTACGCGGTCAGGTCGGTTCGAGTATGTGATATTTCGGAACTGAGTCTAGTTCGTTCGATATCAATGCAATCTAATAGTCATTAATATTCTGTGTTGGTGTAATGTACTCAGGTGAATATATGATGTTTGTGATGTTACTCTGAGTCTATATTCACACCGGGCAAGCTTGAAAAATATGCCTGACCATGGTGGGAATCGACCCTACGACCTACTAGTATTCCAAAGGTCGTAGGTTCGATTCCCACCATGGTCAGGCATATTTGTCAAGCTTGCCCGGTGTGGATATAGACTCAGAATAACATCACAAACATCATATATTCACTTGAGTACATTACACCAATTACTATAAAATTATTAAAATACACTAGTTTCATGTAGAATATATAATATGCAACTAGTTTTTCGTATCTCTGAGGATGATTTTGAAATGAAACTAAATACACTTGTTATATAGTTGGTGTCAAAGTTCAATTTTTCTGTTTGCCGATTGGTCAAAACCGTATCACGTGCCGGTCCACAAAACGTCATGCTCGGCAACCGGTTCAACATGAAACATTTATTGACCAGTCGATAATAAAATGGGTGCAATACGCATGCGTGTCAATCATGAAGTTCCAAAGTTCATTTTTTAAACTTTTTACTAAACATTTACGGCGTTCCATTTATCCAGTTTTGGTTTCAAATTAAGTTCACTCCAATAACCAGTGAATTATTCATACTTTGACACTGATATACTATATAACAAAACACTTATTTACTGAGACCTTGGGAAAGCAGTGTGTTTTGTAGCCCCTCGACCGCCGTTGTTGCCCTAGCTCGGCTTCGCCTCGGGCAACAACGGCGGTCTCGGGTCCACAAAACACACTGTTTCCCTCGGTCTCAGTAAATAAGTGATAATTATATAATTTTTTATTAATTATTGGCAATGATTCTACAATTCACTAGTAAGAGGCCACATTCATATTCAAGATTTCAAGTCATAGACGGATTTTCATATTTTTTACTGGGGTGGTGCCAGAAATTTTAGGGGGGTGAGCCGTGAGCAGGTGACTGAAGCAACACAAAGTGTCACCAAACCCAGTAAGGTCTATATTCTAGGGGTGGAGCACTAGAGCCGCGAGAGGGAGTCTAGAGAGCAGAAAACAAAGTATCCCTGGAAAAATTTGAAAAAAATCATGATTTCTAGCTTCGAAAAAAAGTTTTTTGAAGTTGTCATATCAATGGATTTGGCATGTCCGATTGTCTGTTGAGACTTGAGGGAGTTAAAGTTAAATGAACCTATAAAAGTGTAAACCCAATAGGCCAATACACAATATGCTTTTACTTTTATAAAGTGATTGACATTGTATCGTTTGAATCCGAGTACAATTTATGATGCAACTCCGATGTAAATAATATTTGGGGCGTAAAGATTAAATCTAGGCAAGTCTGTTTCCTAAAAGAATTAAGAACTAAAAATAATGTCCGTAAGAATTCCAAACGTTCCTTGCAAGCAAGCTATTTGCATGACAAGGCACTGAAAACTCTATTCAGGGGTGATAATAGAGTTTCAAAACTTTACAATATTTGAGTGTACTCCTACGTTTATTTTGTATCATCAACACTCTGCACGTTGGAGTGGACTATTTAATTATTTTATACCGAATATTGGGGGTTGAAAATTTTTTGGAGGGTGGCCATTTTGTTTGGGGGGGGGGGGTTATAGCTAATATTGGGGGGTAGCATCCATTGCACCCCCCCTCCCCCGCAAAATCCGTCTATGTTTCAAGTTGTCATGCAAAACGTGAAGTTCCAAAGTTCATTTTATTAAATTTAACCCATTGAGTGACAGCACTCTCCCTCTGACAAGTAAAATCATCTGGCGTTAGACAGAGTAAAATAATCTGGCGTTAGACAGATTAAAATAATTAAGTTTGTCACATTTTGGCACATTGCCACTTAAAGGGTTAACAGGGTGCATGGGCAGATAGTCTGATTAACCCATTAAGTGGCAGCACTCTCCCCCTGACGAGTAAAATAATCTGGCATTAGACAGAGTAAAATAATAAAGTATAGCACATCTGGGTGCATTGCCACTTGAAGTGTTATCAGGGTGCATGGGCAGATAGTCTGGTTAACCCATTAAGTGGAAGCACTCTCCCCTTGACGAGTAAAATCATCTAGCGTTAGACAGAGTAAAATAATAAAGTATGGCGCATCAGAGCGCATTGTCACTTGAAGGGTTAAACATATGTGGTGTTCCATTTATCTTGTTTTGGTTTCAAATTCACTCCAATAACCGGTGAATTATTCATACTTTGACGCTTATATACTATATAACAAAACACTTGTTTACCGAGACCTCAGGAAAGCAGTGTGTTTTGTGCCCCTCAACCGCCATTACTTGATAACAGCGGCGGTCTTACGTCCACAAAACACACTGTTTCCTTTGGTCTCAGTAAATAAATGATAAATATTTGTGCATTAATTTTAATGAGTGTTAAAATGTAACTATCTTCCATGACCTCCTGACCCTCTCTCCTCCACAGTGTTTTCCTAACTTTTTAACAAAGCGAAGCTTCGATATGATAAGACATAAACAAAAGATAGAGGCACTAGACTGTAATGAGCGAAACTGAGTTACAGTCTAGTGCCTCTACCTCTCCCTTCGGCTAATCGCCTTGTTTATGTCTTATAATATTGAAGCTTTGCAATTTGCATTGTTAAAAAGCCAGGAAATCTCTGCAGAGAAGAAAGCTCCTGACCCCTTTCACCATTTTACTTTATGCAAACCTAGAGCGTTAAAAGTTACACATTGTTACAAAGTTCTCGTGTAAATCGGTCCCGAGCGACACAAATAAAGCCTCGTCAAAACAATGAATAATAAAATTTACTCTCAAACACTAAAAAATTCATGCTCTCTGCTCTAATGCACATTATATGTCTCTCCCTGTCCCTGTCAATCAAAAATCCTTTTACTCTCATAACAATACCATATATGGTCCTTGCATGTTCACGCACGAACGTTTATTAATAGATTAACTAATATCAATTAAATAGCTTAATAATTTGTGACACGACTCCCCCATTTAGAAGTGATTTACTTGTCAACTCACTCTAAACCACAAATTCTGAAGTGACTATCTCAAAACTACCGTTTAACGTCCTTGTAAAGTTATTGGCGTCCTCAGTAAACTCTGCTTAGATAGTCCGCACCTACATTTTCTGAACCCTTGATGGACTCAATCCTCATCACATAACTCTGTAGAAACATAGCCCATCTCATAATACGATCATTCAAAAACTTCACTCGGTTCAAGTATATTAATGGTTGATGGTCCGTCTGGAGTACAAATTCTCTTCCGTAAAGATAGACTCGAAACTTCTGTATCACCCACACAATCGCCAAACATTCTCTTTCGATGGTGCTGTACTTGCATTCTCTCGGGGATAACTTTCTGCTAGTATAACTGACCGGGAATAATTTCACATCATGATCCTGCATTAACACCGCTCCGATTCCAACATCTGAGGCATCGGTTCTCAACACAAACGGCTTGGCTGAATCTTGGAGGTAAAGGATAGGTTCACTCGCGAGTTCTCTCTTTAATGTCATGAATGCCTTTTCCTGCGGTTGCTCCCATGATACCTTGTTCGGTTGCCACTTCTTGGTCAAATCAGTTAGGGGTGCTGCCTTCGCTGCATAATTGGGGATGAAGTCGCGATAATAACCGGTCAGCCCGATAAACACCCAAACCTGTTTCTTGGTCTTTGGTCTAGTCGCACCTTCGATCTTTCTGACATTCTCTTCCTGCAGACCTTTGATCCCTTCCAAGACCCGGTAACCAATCACTTCGATGGCTTTCGCGCCCATCACACACTTTGTAGGTCTCACCGTTAACGGACAGCCTGTGAAACAGCTCATCCAGGGCTACCAAATGACCTTCCCATGTCTCTGTGTGCACGATGATGTCGTCCACGTGGTTGTCAACATCGTCGAGGTCTCGATCAGTTTCCTCATTCCTCTCGCTATCGTTGCTCCCGAGTTAACCATTCCGAATGGCATTCTGATAAATTCGTAGGTCCCATCCGGTGTAACAAACGCCGTCTTGGGAACATTTTTCTCGGCAACGGGAATTTGCCACTACCCTTCGCTCAAATCAATTGGCCACCTTCTGAAATATCTCCTCGGCAGTATTACCTGGTGCTGGATCGAAAACTGTGAGCCGATTAAGCTTCCGATAGTCAACGGACACTCTATTCGTACCATCCTTCTTACGTACAACCACGACCGGTGACGCATAGGGAGACTTAGATTCTCTGATCACGCCCATCTGAAGCATTGCTTGGATATCCTCCTTTAGGGACTCTCTCACGTTGTAGGGTATTGCATAAGGTTTGGATCGAATAGATTCCTCGGACGTCATCTCTATTTGGTGTTCTGTCAATTGGTGTTTGTATTTGGTGTTCTGTCATTTGGTGGACGTCATCTCTATTTTGGTGTTTGCCCGGCACGTCGGTGAAGATGTGTTCATATCGATCGATCAGTTCTTCTAATTGGACTCTCTGTTCCTCAGTCAGCCGCTCACCTAAGACCATGTCTGCCGCTGTTTCCTTCAGTGCTGTGGGACCAAGTTCCAGTAGTTCTTCATCATCAACCTCTCCATTGGATCTACCGATACTCGTTTCAGTTATGGAAGCTGCAGTTAGGTGAAGAACTGGACCGCCGACACTGTCCCCTTTGTCGTCACCATCATCATCGTCATCATCTCCATCCAATTCCTGCTTTCGGTTTTTAACATCATCAGCATTCTTTCTTTCAATATATTTCTTGAGCATATTCGCGTGGAAAGTCTTCACCTTTCCGCCGACCTGGATTACACAGTCGTTGGTTCCAACAATCTTTTCGACTTCGAATGGACCCTTCCACTGGATGAGAAGCTTGTTCTTATCAGTTGGCAACAAGATGAGGACCTTATCTCCGACCACGAACTTCCGGTCTTTCGCATTCGGTTGTAATATCGCTGATATCTCGCTTGTGATCGTTTCAATTCCTCACGTGCAAGCTTGAGGGTCTGCTCAAGTTTTCCCCCTAAATCAATCACGTACTGGTAACTGGTCTTCACTTCCGCCTCATCGAACTCTTTCGTCCATAACTCCTTCAAAATGGTCATGGGCCCCCTGACTGTCTGTCCGTAGAGCAGCTCGAATGGCAAAAATCCCATTGAAGCCTGAGGTACCTCCCGATATGCAAACAGAAGGGCATTGATGTATCGGTGCCACTGCTTAGGTTGTTCCGAACACAACCGCTTCAGCATACACTTCATAGTTCCGTTGAACTATTCCACCAATCCATTACACATTGGGTGGTATGGAGATGTTGTCAGCTGTCGTATACTCAAGAGTCTTGACACCTCAGCCATGCATGCACTCCGACACAAACTGGGCCCCCATATCACTCAGGACTTCCTCTGGGACACCCAGGCGACTATACATGACGACCAACGCAGTGGCATCTTCTCTATTGGCACCTTCGAGACATTTCCCTTTGCAACTGTCCGCTGACATATATCACAAGACTGACAAAATCTAGTTATATCACTGTGGATGCCTGGCCAGTAGAAGTTGCTAGTGATCTTATCTGTGGTCTTCTTCACACAGAGGTGACCCCCTAGAATGGAACTGTGAGCAACGTTCATGACTTGCTGTCGAAGCGGTTGCGGCACCACCACCTGGCGGATCGTCTGTTCACCATTTGCATCGAAAATCTTGAACACCCGAAAAAGTATACCGTTCTTCTCCTCAAATGACACCTCACCGTCATGGATTTTCCTCGGATCCGTCTGACTGCGATACTTCTCCAAGCTCGGGTCTTCCTTTTGTAACCGACTAAGATCATTTCGGTCCACGGCCAATCCCCTAAGTTCCTCAGGAATCCGAAGTGGCTTCAGGGTACTACTCTTTCTGGCTTGGGCACGGGTGGTTACAGCTGATGTCTCTTGCCAGGTGGGGTCAGGATCGTTCGGAGCTCTCGCCCCAGGGACGATGCCGATAATGAGATCATAGATTGTCTCAGGGAGGCATTGTGCCTCAACCTGACCTCTCAGATAAGGTGTATCTACGATTATCTCAGCCAATGGGACTTCGCGAAGGGTGTTGTCAATCAGTAACATATAACCAACCTGTCCCGTCGATTGCTCGTCAGCTACTTGGGATCTGCGCACTACCACCCCACTTCACCCTGTATCTCGCAGAGTGTCGACTATGTTCTCAACCACCCACTCTGCCTCTGACAACTGGCATCTTTCTCACAGTGCTGTCGAACAAGGACACACTACCACTCTTTATAAAAGGTAAAGTTTTACCATTTCTAAGTAGTAATTGATCACCATCGATACACGACTCCAAACTCATGTTGTTTTCTGGGGGGTGTCCCTGGCCATGAAGGGCTGCCCCGGCTTTCTCTGTATTCTCCTTATCCCTCATCAACTTGCACTCTCTCGCCAAATGGCCAGTGCGATCGCACAGAAAGCAGCGTTTCTCAACTTTGGGGTAGACTTGTTTGGGTTCTTACTGTAGTCAATTGCCTTATGGCCATACCCTCCACAGGTAAAACATTGCATCCTCCCCCCTGGTTTTCCTCCCTTCTCGCTTCCAGTACTTCCGCTTGGAGGATATTTCCCCTTGGGTGGCTTGGATGGGGAGTGTAGTTTCTTTCCATGAGCAATCAGGAATTGCTCAGCAACTTTTGCCGCCTCGTCTAAGTTTTCGGGGTCTCTTTCTCGCAGATAAATTGCTAAATCCTCAGGGCATGCATCAATAAGTTTTTCCTTAACAAACAGTTCGCACAACCCTTCGAATGACTTTTCGGTTTTTGCTAGGTCAATCCAACGAGTTAAATAGCGTTTTAGTCTAGTTATAAATTGTTCCGGGCTTTCTCCCTCTTCTGGTTTGCTGTTCCTAAATCGTACTCGAAACCCGTTCTCTCTCAGGTCGTATCTCTTCAACAGGGCTTCCTTCAACTCTTTTTAATCTACTGCGACTGTTTCTGACATCCTAGAGTAAACGTCTAGCGCCTTACCTGTCAACAAAGCACTCAGCGACGTCGCCCAAATCGACTCGTTCCATTTATTGCTTTTCGCGAAGCGTGCGAACCTTTGTAGGTAGCTATCCAAATCATCCTGACCGTCGATAGACTGTGGTAACTTCGGCATTTTCGCTGTGACGATTCCCGAGTGATGCTCACTAACGCCCCCGTCTGTATTAAGTCCTTCTACTTCAAGTTGCTTCATTTCCAGTTCGTGCCTTCGCATCGCCTCCTTCTCTCTCGCTTGGGCTTCTCTTTCACGCTCCTTCACCTCGAGTTCTCGCTGTTGTTGTCGTTCTCTCTCCTTCGATTCTAGTTTCTTAATGTCGCGCTCTCGCTGTCTTTCTTGTCGATCGTCGTCTACTTTACGCCTTTCGATTTCTTGTTGATTTTTTACAAAGTCTAATAGTTCTTTTTCCTTCAAACCAAACTCCTTGCCTAACTCAATCCACTTCTCCATCGCCGTAAAACTCTCTCTATTTACGCCATAAATATCTCAACGTACGTTGACTTTCTCAATCCCGATATTTTCCCAAAAATATCTCTCGTTTACCGCTCGATAAACAATACTTTTCACTTTATAATCGCTCTCGTTTGACCGATTCCCGCCTGAGCCCCCAGTGTTACAAAGTTCTCGTGTAAATCGGTCGCGAGCGACACAAATAAAGCCTCGTCAAAACAATGAATAATAAAATTTACTCTCAAACACTCAAAAATTCATACTCTCTGTTCTAATGTACATTATATGTCTATCCCTGTCCTTGTCAATCAAAAATCCGTTTACTATCATAGCGAACGTTTATTTAAAGATTAACTAATATCAATTAAATAACTTAATAATTTGTGACACACATAGTGATTAACCTCCTATATTTTGTGCACTAGTCTTACAATAAAACCTGCCATACGAAACTTGCTCCTCTGTAATAGCCTTTATAGTGTGTTGGGAGGCAAAATTGAAACAACACTTATTTTTCAGCAGACCAATTAGTGTTGAGTAGTTACAAATACTTTTTAAGTGCAAGCTCCCCAGCAGATAAATAACATTTATATATAATAACTATATTATGACCAAGTGCTGTTTGTAATACTTTACTTTTAGTGATCTGACTGATGATATTCACAATTCCTCATCATCATCAAGTGAAGATGATTGCATGATTGATGATTGCATTGTAGGGCCCTCATTGATACCAGTGATACATTACTGAAGATGTTACCCTACGGAAATAAATATGATTTGATTTTGATTTAAAGACAACAAAGGGGAAAGAAGAATGGGGGAAAGAAGAAAAGAGGTAGAAAGGCACAGTGGAGCCAGACTTTACTCGATCATTTGGTAGACATAATCATTTCTAGCGAGTTCTATTAAAATAAATTGATTTTTACGAACACCAAGAATCAAAGAAATGGTGAAATTTATAAAAGAGTGTTGGTAGAACTGAAGCAACGTGGTTCAGCAAGAGGAGAAGAGATACCATTTGATAACATCCAAGTCCGCACAAAATTTAAGAAAGTTGTTTCGGAATGCAAACATGTAGCCCTAACAATTAATACTGCTAGTGGAATAGAAAGATTTATTGAAGGGAAGGGTTATGGAAAATGGTTTAATGACTTGTTTCCCATAGTCAAGACTCGTGATGCCTGTCGGCCAGAACTTGCAGTTGAACCATCTTGTTCGGAAGAAAGTTTTGAGATTTCTGGTGAAGATGAAACATCAACCTCGTCTGCTTCTGAGAAGAAGGAAAAGTTGGTGATAAATAAACGTGGTAGGAAGAAAAAGAAACAGGATGTTGTCAATGAAACATTGAGTCTTATTAAGAGTGCAATCGAAAATGATTCAACAAAAGAGTTGCTATCGTATTTGAAGGATGAATCTGAAAAGGCTCGAGAGCATGAGTTAAAAATGATGCAGATGCTCACCCACAGTTCATCATCAAACCAACCTCAACAACCACATAACATGCAGTATCCTGGATACATACATGACGGAAGCACTCCAGTTTGGCAATATAACAATCAAACGTTACAATCACCTAATCAAGAAAGTGGATGGCCATCTAGTTTCTTCAGACCGCCTTTCAGTTGATTTGAAATTTCAACTCATTTCAACGTACTGAAATTTCATTTCAGTTGAATTTGTTAGTACAATCTAATACAAATGGGCTTGTTGTGTTTATTTTAGTTTGAGTTGTGTGCTTGTTTTTTAACTATGCTATTGTTGCAGGTGGCAATGTTTGCATAATTACCAAAATGTCTTATGTTCAAAATTTCTTGGCATTCAGTACTTTTTTACATAAAATGGCAATCTTTTCAAAAATTTTTTTGCAAAAAGATTGTAGAGATAATTACCACCTGTCCCTTGGCATTACAAACATATATTTTAAACCATGTTGATGAAACTGTTTTTCATGTACTATTGTTTTTTTTATGTTTAAGGTCAAAGACCGTGATTAGGTGTATAGATATTAGATTGATATTTATTGATACATTGTATAGAAGAACTACAGACTCATGTTGTATGATTGAGGATTTAGTTTTAGAAAAAGTGGTATGATTCCTCTTGATCAGACTATAAAAAAGAGTGAGGTTTTTCCATCTAGTACTGATATTATTTGAAAATTATAAAGGCAAGAATATATTCAACATTGTTCAGGACTGACTGTCATCAGTAACTTTATTGTAAAGCATTTGCAATGCAATTTGATAGTCTATCAAGGTTTATCATACAATAGTTCAAGTTTATATTTTTAGCAAATAATACTTGTTACATTTCTGTCTGGTAAATAAAAACAAAATTAACGTGCTATATGCAAATAATATATATTTGCCTAGGTAATGTTGATCAGTTTAAGAATTCATTCCTTAATATAAGATTCTTTTTTTCCCCACAGCTTGTCAGCAAGAGCATTTCTTACTTTCTTTGCTTGTGCATTGGAATTTCTTATTTTCCTACACTTCGTCATGTAGAGTTCATCTCGAATCCCTGTTAGGGATATTGGTAAATTTTCGATGTCCTCCCTCTCTCAGGCCGATTAATGTTTGGCTCTTTCTTGGCTCTGCCCACGCTTGACTTGATATCTCCGCGCGAGTTGCGCACGCGATTAAACATAACTAGCGTGTTGCTATTTTAGTGCGGTTTGGCGTTCGAATGAAACTGAAATTGAATAAATATGAGCTGTTGGATCATGTCAGATTATAGCAACCAGCAGGGATAGTAAATTATTAGTTTTTCTTGTACAATTGGGCGAATTGGCCTTTGTATAGTATAATATATCATAAGCGATATGCGGCGACCTTTGAACTTTGATATATACTGAGTTCGCTATTGCGGGTTTTTATGTCTGAATTATTCAACATTGATTTGTGTTTCCTCTTTAGTTTCCCACGCACAGAAAAATATTTGAAATACAAATAAGTACCCAGCATATGGCTAGTTCAAACTTTTTGGGGGTGGTGATGTTTTACTACTAGTTTTAGTGTGACTTAAGGAGTTAAGGGCGCAATAAGTTTCATATAAAGGCTCAGACTTGTGTCAAATATTCTGTTCAATATATAAACGAGCATATGTACTTATCATATTGTACTTCTGTGCATATTATTCTCTCTGTTACTCGCATATTCTTTGAATGCACCACGTACTATTAAGTATTAGTTGCAGTTTGTTATAGTCATTATATGTGTATTTGTATTTCATAATATTTTGTTGCACGGCAGGGGCCTATAATGATTATGGCGTGCGCGAATTCATCACGCGAAAAACGCGTTGGACTTGCCGACACATAAGACAACGTTAATTTGGGTCGTTAATACGTAGATTTTGTCCAGAGTACAGCCAACTTTGGTCCCACAATTAGAATTCTAAGCATTGTAATCTGGAACGATCGTTTTATTGCAAATCATATTGACATTGTGCGAGACATTGTTGTATTCATAGCAATATTTTCATATCTGTGGCAAAATCTTCAAGTTTCTAATTACAGTATTGCAGTATAAGAGTAAAAGGTTCCGTGATAATATTTTTGTACATATCCATGAATGTTTAGTGTGTCGGCAAGCCGTGTTTTAAAACATTAAGTTAATTTCCATTATCACCGTTTATATCTTGTCACGTGACCAGTTTCCATGGAAACCAAATAGTTAAAAAATATCGGCAGTTGATTTCCAACATCTCACCCAAAAATGAGAGTCGTAGTGTGCTTTGTTAATTTTTAATTAATTTTGAAAGATTTTTCCTATTTCCCCACTCCTTACGAAATTGGAGCCATGCATTAATGCACCTGAGCTCCCTCCAAGTTTTTAAAATTTTCAATGCCCCCCCCCCCCGAATCCGGAATCAAAGACATACAATCCGGAATTCTCTCTTATCGCAGATATAAATTGCAGTTCCTCAAGAAGTCTGATATACTCAAGCACGTGCTTCTCCTCAACAAAAATACCGACTTGCTGCTTCTTTCACCTCACTCGTCAGATGAAATGACACCGTCTTTAAAAAACCGTTTTAGATTGGCTCTAGGGGCGAAATTATCAACAGGTTGTTGTTGTCCATCATTCAGCGTAGTCGGAGCCTTAATTGAACATGTTCATGTAGTGGCCGCGATTTCCTGGATCAGGGCAATGTGCTGGTACCCTAGAGAACCTCGCCCCCACCCAACGTATCTCCTGGTATCTGTTGCAAATTTCTTTGCATGCCTGTCAAAAATGCATGCAAAAGCGCCAGTAAGCTTCAATTTCTTTATTTTTATCAGGTTTGTGCTAAAAATCCCATGAACATATTTGAACAGACGATTTTACTCATCATATGGAGGTGAAGGGAAGTCTTGCGCTTTAATGCATGGTTAATATAAATTATAGTGTAAATGACATGTTAAGCAAACATTGGGGGAAATCTGAGGAAGTGTCAACCATGCTGCACTATCCATGTGAGGCGTAAAAACTTCGTGACCTAGATAGCTGGCAGCTACTATTCATTTAAATTAACTACACATTTCAAGATGAAGCAGTGTTATTTTAAGTCTATATATACAACTTCTTGAAAAGAAAAACACAACATCGCCGACTTTTCGAAAAAAGACGGTCTTTAGCAGTTTAGCTTCCATATGCGCGGACCTTCGCTCGAAAGCTTTTTTATATATTTTCAGGAAGTTGTATTGCAGTTTGTGTTCTTAATTCCCTATCTACACTGTTCGAGATTCATAATATATATGAGCACATGAAATTCAATTTAAACCGCTAATAATCAATAACATAATCAATACCGTTGGATATTTGAAGCTGGTTGTTTTTGAAATCAAGCAATGTGAATTCTGGAATTTAGATGTCTTGTAACGGATTGTAAAATTTGGTTTAACTAATTCGAACACAAGAAATCGTTATCCGCTCTCCATTACGAACCCACCTCTAAAGAGGTTTCAACTAAAAGCAGAAATACATGCATAAGAAGTTTCAATTTTTCATAACACTTTAGGAAAAGGTTAGTAGAACGAATATGCCTCATTAGCTCAGGGGTTAGAGCACTGGTCTATATAGTAAACCAGGGATCCAGAGTTCAAATCTCTGATGAGGCTATACCATTTGTAAGGATAGCGGAATAAAGGATTTCGGAATTTAAGTTTTCCAACGTTTTCCACGTCTTCAGCCTCAGTACAGTATAGCTAACTCCCAACAATTTTTCAAATTTTAATTCACTATGAAAACAAAGAAATTGATAGAGCCTCATGAGAGATTCGAACTCGCGACCTTTAGTTTACGAGACTACTGCTCTACCCCTGAGCTAATGAGGCACAACTTTCAGCAAACATATACTTTTACTGTGACAGATATATTAACACATGATTGGTTGCAGTCTTAATTAACTGTGCCAAAGTACTAGAAAAAATTTAATTTGCTGTATAAGTCCACTATTTCTGTACTTCCCTCCATATAATTTGCAATAAGTTTCCTCCTGTAAATATCTTCTACACTTCTCCCTCCCGAATCAATGTTGACTTTTATTCACGTATAACTATTAATCAACAATTCCCTTAGCCAAAACATCATTACTGTTCTATGTAGAATTGGGGAAAACGTAGAAAATCCAAAAATACCAACGAATTTAAGCGATTAGTTTCAACGTGTTGTTGAAGTTTAAATTTCAGCTGGTTTATTGATGGTTGTCCAATACTGTCGAACGCATACGGATTGTAAAGATGGTAAAACATTGAACACAACCCGTACGGTCGGTACGAACTGTAAAATGGCTTTACAAACCGTACTGTTCGTGAAAATGATTTACGGATCGTGAACATGCTTTGTCGATGGTAATGTTGTGTTTAAGTCAGGCCAGAAAAGTTTGTCGATCCGTACGGATACGGACCGTACGAACTGTGAAATGGCTTTGCGGATCGTACTTTTCGCGCCCAATCTGTCATTCGGTCAATGCAATAATTAAATGCATAATGGAGTCGTATACCGTTTACCATATCAAAAAAATGTTCTTCTTGTCAGATTGTAGATGATTAGAAGTGGTTTTTCCGTTGTGGAATATAACTGATGTGTGGCTGGGTGCTAAGACTGCGGACAGAACAATAGTTGCGTTTGTGAATGATACTGAGTTATATGGCGAAAAAAGGCGTATACCAAAGTATTAAATGACAATATTATGTCAATGACAATGACATTGTAATGCTGGATGATTCCCTTTGGCACCTGCCGTAGGCGGAAATGATACTTGATAGGTATAGCATTCAAATGTGCAGCATAAAACATCCAGTTTACACTCGGTTTTATACACATTTATCTAATAATTGCGTGTAATTATTTGAACAGTGAATTTTCATATTGTTGAAAAATACTCTGCTTTATCGTCTAATACAAAATTCTGTAAAAGAGATTACTCTAGTCTTGATGAAATAGTTTTATTAAATGATATTCAGTTGATAAATTGGAACGAAGTATTTCAGTCAGATTCGGATCCTGATGAAATGTTTGATTCTTTCCATGACAAAATTTTGCAGGTTGTTGATACTCATGTACCTATCAAACAACTAAGTAAAAAAGAACTAAATGTTAGGATAAAATCTTGGATAACACCAGCAATTAGGATATCTATTCAAAAGAAGAATAGAATTTAAAAAGTATCTTAAAACAAGATCCATATATTATCATTCAAAATTTAAGATTTATAGAATTAAGTTGAATCATCTGCTGAAGATAAGCAAAATAAATTATATTATGACAATTGCTTCCTTTCCAAGTCTGGAAATAGTCGTGATGTTTGGAAAGGTATCAAAGACTTGGTTAGAACGAAATCACAAAAATATCGTGCTCCTGCAGCCATAAATGATAATGGTTTATACTGCATGTAGTTGAATGATCCCAAGTCTATTGCAAATGCTTTCAATATTATTTTTCTACAATTGGCTCAAATTTAGCAAGTAAAGTTCCATATGTGCATAAATCTCCTATGGAGTATATGATCTCTTCCCCAAATGACAATTTTTTCCTTTTCCCAACTACTGCTGGAGAAATTGAAAATGAAATTCAGTCTAAATTAAAGAATTCCAAATCTACAGGACAATTCAGTATTCCTATTCCAATTTTGAAACTGATTAAAAATGTATTATCTGGGCCACTTGAGACCATACTTAAAGCTTCTTTCTCTACTGGCATTGTTCCAAAAAGCCTGAAGATAGTCAAAGTAATTCCCGTTTTAAAAAAGGATTGTGCACACAATTAAATATTTATAGACCCATTTCTCTCCTATCAGTTTTTAATAAAATATTGGAGAAGCTTATGTATAAAAGATTGTATAGTTACATTAACGAAAAGCAGATTTTATACTCTAAACAGTTTGGATTTCGTGCTTCATATTCCACTAGCCATGCTCTGATTAGTATAATCGACATAGAAAATCGCAATTTTGCTTGTGGTATATTTATAGATCTATCCAAAGCTTTTGATACAGTTGCCTCATAATATTTTGCAAAAAAGAACTCGAATTTTATGGCATCCGAGGACTACCTAATGAGTGGTTTCTTTCCTATTTATCAAACAGGAAACAATTTGTTTGCGTTGATAATATACCATCTGAAGAATTGTTCATTTCATGTGGTGTCCCTCAGGGTTCAGTTCTTGGTCCATTATTTAACAATTATTCGCCGAAGGCGAGGTGATTATCGGGGAATATTCGCCGAGACTGTTTCAGTATTTTTACACAACTTTTTGTGTATTTTGAGACTGAATTTATTTTAATTTCGCTTATTTATTTGTCAGTAAACTTCCACAAAACCGCTAGCCGCCATTTTAAAAATTTCTGTTTTGTTATATTCACCTGTAGGTGAATATAACAGATTATTACGTCAAATTTGACCAATCAACGTGTAGGATTTGTTATGTTCACTTGTGTAAAAATACTAATATTCCTTATTTACATAAATTATTTTAGTTCATGCTCTAAAATGTTAGATTTTCATCTTTTTGCAGATGATGCAAATTTATTCTATAAAGATAATAATTCGAATTTCCAAACTGATCTAACCAATGAGCTAGATAAGGTTTATGAATGGCTTTGTGTTAACAAGATATCTCTTAATATATCTAAATCTAACTTTGTGATATTTCATTCTAGACAACGCACAATAAAAAACAATTTATAAGAATTTATCAATACTGATGAACAGTTAAAACAAGAGCAGTCGATCGATAAAGTACTTAGCATGCTGTAATGATAGATTCCAATCTTAGTTGGAAAAGTCCTATTGATTTAATGATTTAATAAGATGCGGCTACTATTTAAATACAACATATAGAGCCAGGGAATTCGCCACAGGTTTCCCCAATTACGGCGATCCCATATAAACAAGAATTAAATTACTGTACAAAACAAATTTTCAAGCAACTTAACAAGCTAAAACCAATAAGGCTAATAACGGAAATCTATACTGTCCATGTTCAATAATATAGGACTAACAACAACTTATTACATTGTTAAGCGATCTGGCTCTTTTGCACTTTACACACACTGATTTTCAGGTGCGCGGATCGACACATTTGAAAGTTTTGGATAGTGCATGTTTGTAGTAGAGTTTAAGACCTGATTTAAAAGACAGTAAACCTATATCTCTAGTACGCAAGTTACTATTTAATATGTTCCACGTTTTGCAAGTTCTTATAAAAAATAAGGTCTGGAATGTTACGGTTTTCGCATAAGGAATAATAAATCTAATCAGGTTTGCGTTTGATTCACTTCTTGTAATTCCTGATCCAGCCATGATCGGTAGAGCACGTTCGTCAATGTATGTAAGATTATTGATGTTCTTGTAGAGGAACACCAGATCCAAGTATTCGTTCCAATATGAGACAGGTAATATGTCAAGCTGAAGGAGTCTTGTCTTGTGAGAAATGTTTGTGATAAACCCAAGATTCAATATGTATTTAGTTGCTCGTCTCTGCACTTTCTCAACGTCCTCGATAAGTTTCACTGACTGAGGACACCAGGCTTGGGTTGCATAGGAGAAGTTACTTCGCACAAGTTGAAGATACAGAAATCTTCTCGTGTTCATATCCGTTATCTCCATGGTGGAACGTCGAATTAACCCGAGCGTTTTGTTGGCTTTTGACCGAACTTTGTTGATCTGAACATTCCATAATAGTCTAGAACTGATCGTAATGCCCAGATCAGACTCTACATCAGACGACAATAGTTGGTGATCGCCAAGTGCATATGGGTAAATTAAGGGAGACGTCCTTCTCGTGATAGACAACACTTTACACTTCGATTTGTTAAAGCTCAACAGGTTCTCATTTGACCAACAATGGAGGCTTTGAATATCCGATTGCAATGCCAATGCATCGTTACGATTTTGCACACATCTGTGCAGTTTGGTATCATCAGCATACAAACCGACCCCAGTAGAAATGGATATGTTATCGGGCAAATCGTTAATGTACACCGAGAAGAGGAAGGGAGCCAGCAATGAACCTTGTGGGACTCCGGATGTTATTGGAAAGGGAGTAGATGTCGCGCCGTGAACAGTTACCTCTTGACAGCGACCTGACAGATAGTTTTCGAACCACAACAAGAGAGAGCCAGATAGACCGAAATCGCGAAGTTTTTGTAACAGTTTGGCGTGGTCAACGGTATCGAAAGCCTTGGAAATGTCCATGAAGACAACGTCAGTTTGTAGTCTTTTATCTAAGTCCTTCCCTATTTTGTGTAATGTCGATAGTAATTGAGATGTGCTAGACCTTCCAATTATGAATCCATATTGTGCTGAGTGAACGCTTTCCTGTATGCGTAGAAATAGGTGGTTTAGGACACAGCGTTCAAGAGTCTTGCTGACAATGCTTAACAAAGAAATGGGTCGGTAATTTTCCACTTGTTCTTTTACACCTTTCTTGTGTAGAGGGATGATGTTGGCTAACTTCCATTCGGTGGGAATCTGTGATAAGCGGAGGGACTTTGTGAACAGGTAGTGTAGAGAAGGAGCAAGTTGGAATGCACATTCCTTTAAAACACGAGAAGGAAAACCATCAGGACCATGAGCCTTGAAGGGATCTAAGTTCTGTAAGGCTAGGTAAACTTCTTCTAGAGAGAAGTCAATGGATGATATACTGGATAGTGGAGGTAAAGAATCAGGCCGGGGTGATGAACATTGTCCCGAGAAGTTAGTGTAGACAGAATGGAAATATTCATTGAACAGTGTTGCAATATCGCGAGGCGTGTTTGCATGTAGTCTCCGGAATGTTGGGATTTGTCCTTGATACTGACTTAGGGATAGTTCCGGTGTTCGAGTTGATTTTAAAGACAGACCAGAAACGTTTTGGATTGATTCGTAGGGTGTTTCCTAAGGATGAGAAAAACAACTTTCTACTTTCTTTAATTAATTTTTTTACGTCAGTTCTTAGCTGGTTGAATTTCGCCTTGAGATATTCAGTCCCTCGGCTTAGAAATCTCAATTCGGGCAGTTACCATTTTACGAATTTGATGTAGTATGGTTGATGTTATCCAAGGAGGTGTTCGATGGGGGTCTACGTGTTTGGTGGGGATAAATGCATTCATAGCTGAAAACATAGCTTTCTTCCACGTGAACCAGTCGCCATCGATACTGCATTTCGTCCCATTGTTTGTTAACAGAGTGCAAAGTTCCATATCATTTAGTTTTTTTCGTAAACCGTCAAAGTTTGCTTGTCTGTAATCGTAGATCAAACGTTTGTTTGGAAGGACAATATTTGATGAGGTAGAGATTTGGAAGTGTATGATATTATGATCAGAATTCATTCCTAACTCAGCTGGAGGGTGGACGGCCGTTAATGTTATGTGTTCTGGTTGGTTGGTAAATAGTAAATCCAGAATGTTTGACTCTCTAGTGGGAACCAAACAAAGTTGGGACATGAAGTAGTCGTCTAATACATCACAGAAGTTCTGATTCAATGAACCTGTTGCGGTATAGTTAGAATCTGTCCAAGAAATATTCGGGAGGTTAAAGTCACCGGCGATAAGGATCTTGTCGTAGACAGGAAATAACTTATCAGCAAAGGAACGGAAATCAGACATATCATTACTATCGGGAGGTCTGTAACAACATACAACAAGCCATTTCGTGAGGTTTGGTAATGAACACTCGATAGCAACAGCCTCTAAGTTTTTCATAGAAACAGACGAAATTTGATTGCAATTTATGAAAGTATCTTGTTTAATTGCAATAAGTACGTCTCCCCCAGAACGTCCCAGTGATCTGTCAGTTCTGTAAATGTCATACCCAATTGGTAAGATTTCTCTATCAGATATATTGCTGTTGAACCAAGTTTCAGTCACGAACATTAAATCAATCGATTCTGAGTAAACCAGCTCTTGAAACTTGAACATATTGGAAATTTGACGATTCTCCTGCGTAAGGAAGGTCTTTCTCAAACTCCTTGCATTCATGTCCATGCAAAACAAGCTGGAATCTTTTTGTTCAGTATTCTGTTTACGCGAACCGACGTTACCGCTGCTAGTTGAATTAATGTTAGTCATTGTTGGTCCTGGATTGGGATGAATGTCTCCACACATCAACAAATGCGAGGACAAAACAGTAGGATTGAAAATAGTTTGGCAGTTTGAATGATAGTGAATTCTACTATTCAAATATTTACTTTGGATAAAAAAAACCCAAAGCGTTTCCGATTGTTTATGATACAATGCCAATCCCTCATAGTCCCGTAAAAGTCCTTCGGTAACGGTTCTTTGCAAGAATCATCGATTATTGGACCCACTTCCACAGACACCGTCAACAGATAAACAAGAAAAATGTTCAAAAGGACGAACGGAATCAGGAATTTATTCCTTTGAATGATGATTATAGGCTGGGTTGCGTAATTAAAGAAGTAATCAATCAAACCAAGTTCAAATAGATTTTACAAATCAATCAACAAAAATCGCAGCCACCAAACAAATAATCGTCCAAAAGCAAGTCAAACTATTCGTAGTCAGCAGCTCTTTACCTTTTCCAGGTAGCTGTATCACTTATCCGCAATCTTGTGCAATTTCACCTCAAATATGTAATATTAGTCAATAAATTTTGCATTTATTAAATGAAAAATCCTGAGAATTTTACAGAGCTAGGCGGCGCGCGACCGCACGCGCATAACTATCACGCCAGGGTTCGTTTGATAACCAGAAAGTTAAAACAAGAAAAAGGAGATACCCAAAAACTTTATTGAAACTCCATTACATAAGACAGTTGTTGCCAAGGAGAGCGACGCCAGACGGGATTTAAATTTCAAAAATTCCAACGGTCAAAAATAATTAATTGAATAATTCATGAACAGTACATTTAAGTAACACCAAAATTACACAAAATAACCACAAAATGATTCGTAGCTCACACAGCAAGATTCGGCCGAAAAGGACAAACGACGACAAAGATATTGTTCATTAACCAAAATTTTCAGTTGTATCGCTATAATAATACGATAGTAATACGATCCAGCAAACCAAACCAAAATAACTTAACACCACGATACAAATCCAATTCCAAAATACGATGAGAGGATGCACAAAATCCTTAGCTTTAGTAAATATAAAGCTTAATATAATAGCTGAGAAATTAACTGAAATTTATTGTATTTAAGCGGAGCTCGCTCGTGCGTAAACCAAACCTATTGACCTATTTGGCAATATTCAATATATGTTAATTACACTGTCAAAAAAGTAAAAAGAAATATTGGTATCATTTCAAAGCTTCGTCATTATGTAAGTCTATTTACTCTCAAAAATCTGTATTATTATGCTCTAATCTATCCTTTTTTGACATATGGAATTCTGGTATGCGGAAGTACATACCAGGCTACTCTCCAGCCATTGGTTGTTTTACAAAAAAAGCAGTGCGTGTTATAACTAATTCGAGTTTTCAAGAACATACCAGTCCGATTTTTAAAGATTTGAATTTTATGAAGTTATGTGATTTGGTGTCCTTAAAATTCAAATTGCTTTATTCATGTATAAATTTTGTAATCAGCTGCTACCGCCTATTTTTACTAATTTCTTCTACACTGTGGCTAGTCAACATGACTATGGTACTAGATTATCTCCCAAGCAGTCATTTTCGCTCCCTAAAGTTAGAACTATAACTACGGAATTTTTAATATCAGATTCCAAGGAGCTCAAATATGGAATTCTATTGCTGCTAATTTTAAATCTCTTTCTTTGAATAACTGAAAGCTAAAGAAAACTTTCTTGAAAGTTATTGATTTTCTGACGTAATAACTCATCTGCAAGGTTATTAATTTCTCATTGTTGCAATTTCATCTAGGCTTTATTATTCATTAATTTTGTTTGTTGTCGTTTGTCTTTGTTTTTGGTGTGAAATTGTTTTTGAAAAGATTGACTTGTCGAAATAAACTGACTGCCAGATTTTCTAGCCCCATGGTTATTTTGGCAGTCAGTGCTCATAAGAAAATGTAATAAAAAAAATATTCAGTATGTGTATGTGTAAATAATGTATTTCGTTGAGTAATAAAGGATTGTTGTATTATAATTAGCTAACTCCCAACAATTTTTCAAATTTTAATTCACTAAGAAACAGAGAAATAAATAGAGCCTGATGAGAGATTCGAACTCACGACCTTCAGTTTACGAGAATACTGCTCTTCCCCTGAGCTAAAGAGACACAACCTTCTGCAACGATCATACTTCATTTTGGCTTATAGTTGTTCTCCTTTTTTTCACAATAACCCTCTTCGTAGTTCAAGATAATTTGGCTAACAAAATACAAACGCTAAGAACATAAATGGTGGTCAGATGCCTCATTAGCTCAGCGGTTAGAGCACTGGTCTTGTAAACCAGGGGTCCGGTGTTCAATTCTCTGATGTGGCTCTTTATTGTGCGTAGTTTTTGAGAACAAACTCAAAACTGTGTGGTTCCGGTGACAAATTTATTGACCGTGGAAAGATAGTCGTTGAATATTTGAAGCTGGACGTTTTTCAAATCAAGCAATGAGAATTCTGGAATTTAGATGTCTTGCAACGGATTGTAAAATTTGGTTTAACTAATTTGAATATTGCGAACCCACCTCTAAAGGTGTTTGAACATAAATACATGTATAAAAAATTCCAAGTTTGCACACCATTTTAGGAAAAGTTGCCCGTACGAATATGCCTCATTAACTCAGAGGTTAGACCACTGGTCTAGCAAACCAGAGGTCAGGAGTTCAAGTCTTTGATGAGGCTACAATCCTTATTTTTAAAGCAAACATAATAAAAGATTTTGTAATTTAAGTTTTCCAACGTTTTGCACCTCTTCAGCCTCAATGCAGTTTGGCTAACTTCCAACAATTTTAATTTTAATTCACTAAGAAACAAAGAAATTGATAGAGCCTCATGAGAGATTCGAACTCACGACCTTCAGTTTACGAGACTACTGCTCTACCCCTGAGCTAATGAGGCACAACTTTCTGCAACCATAGTTTTACATCGAAAGATATATTAACGCATGATTTGTTGTGGTCTTAGTTAACTGTGCCAAAGCACGAGCAAGGTATTTCATTTGCTGTAAGTGCATTACTTCAGTAGTTCCCTCGATATAATTTGAAATAAATTTCCTCCGATAAATCTGTCCTACTCTTCTCCATCCCGGACCATAATGTTGACTTTTATTCAACGAATTCTGATTGCATGGGTAGCCAATTCAACGTAGAACTACTAATCAAAAATTCCCTTAGGCACAAAATCATCATTGCTCTATGTAGAATTCGTAGAAAATCCAAAAATACCAACGAATTCAAGCGATTATTTTTCGATTTGAATACTTCAAGTTTATAAGAAATCTAAAACGTGTTGTTGAAGTTTAACTTTCATCTGGTTTATTCGAAACATAAATATAACGTTCTGCGCTGGAAAGGCTGAAAATGAAGTTGGAACCATAATGCACCAAAATAATAACCGAAGATCTATGGAATATGGAGTAATGTGCTGGTATAAGCTAATGAACCTCAAAGACATTTCGTGTTTTCCAACGATCGTATTTCATATTGTCTATAGTTGTTTTCCCTTTTTTCACAAAAATCCTCTTCGTAGTTCAAGATAATTTGGCTACAAAATACAAACACTAAGAACGTTAATGGTAGTAAGATGCCTCATTAGCTCCGTGGTTAGACCACTTGTCTTGTAAACCAGGAGACCGGAGTTTAATTCTCTGATGGGTTAATTTCTTAATTGTGCGTCGTTTTTGAGAACAAAATCAATACTGTACGGTTCCGGTGACAGATTTTTTGTTCGTGAAAAGATAGTCGTTGAATATTTGAAGCTGGATGCTTTTCAAATCAAGCAATGAGAATTCTGGAATTTAGATTTCTTGTAAACGTATTGTAAAATTTGGTTTAACTAATTTGAACACAAGAAATCATTATCCGCCCACCATTACGAAACCACCTCTAAAGAGGTTTCAACTAAAAGCAGATATACATGCATAAGAAATTCCAAGTTTTCATAACATTTTAGGAAAAGGTTGACAGAACAAATATGCCTCATTAGCTCAGGGGTTAGAGCACTGGTTTAGTAAACCAGGGGTCCAGAGTTCAAATCTCTGATGAGGCTATAACATGACAAAGGATTTCTGCAGTATAGCTAACTCCAACAATTTTTCAAATTTTAATTCACTAATGGAAACAAAGAAATTGATAGAGCCTCATGGGAGATTCGAACTCGCGACCTTTAGTTTACGAGACTACTGTTCAACCCCTGAGCTAATGAGGCACAACTTTCTGCGATCATACGTACATTTACTGTGAAAGATATATTAACGCATGATTGGTTGCAGTCTTAATTAACTGTGCCAAAGTATTAGAAAGAAATTTCATTTGCTGTAAGCCATTAACAACAGTACTCCCCCCCATATAATTTGCAATAAATTTCCTCCTGTAAATCTCTTCTACTCTTCTCCATCCGAATCAATGTTGACTTTAATTTATTCACGTAGAACTATTAATCAACAAATTTCAGCTGGTTCATTTAAATTTCGAAACATAAATATAAAGTTGCGCTGGAAAGGCTGAAAATGAAGCGGGAACCATAATGCACTAAAATAATAACCGAAGATCTATGGAGTATACAGTAATGTACTGGTAAGGCAATTAATATACAGATATGAGGTAATGAACCTCAAAGACATTTCGTGTTTTCTAATGATCATTTTTCATATTGGCTTATAGTTGTTTTCCCTTTTTCACAATAACCCTCTTCGTAGTTCAAGATAATTTGGCTACAAAATACAAACGCTAAGAACGTTTAATGGTAGTAAGATGCCTCATTAGCTCCGTGGTTAGACCACTGGTCTTGTAAACCAGGGGTCCGGAGTTTAATTCTCTGATGGGGTTCTTAATTGTGCGTCGTTTTTGAGAACAAAATCAATACTGTATGGTTCCGGTGACAGACTTTTTGTTCGTGAAAAGATAGTCGTTGAATATTTACAAGAAGTAACACACGTTTTCTTTCTAAAGTATAACTTTGTTTAAAAAGCTTGACTCCCAGACGTTGCTTCGTTTCGCTCTAATCCAAAATTTACGACTGGTGTTTCTTCAAATTTTGCCCTATCAAAAGCGAAAGGTTAATGTTATTATTGTTTTCTTTATTTGCCTTCGCCAGAAATAGTAAATGGTTATAAGGCGAAACAAACGACAGCTCTAAAATATTGTAAAAGCTAGCAAATAAATTAAAGGCGACAATGGTAAAACGTACACGCCAAAACCGACTTTGTACCGAAGCTTACCGGATTGGCCTGCTTACACTGCTTCGGCACATGCCGGATTACTTTTTATATCACCTCTAAAGCGGAGTAATTTTTACGCCGCGTCGCGTACCGGATTACTGTGGCGTATAGTGTAAACAGCAGCCGAATCCCATATGAAAATCGCGACGCTCCGATGCATTCTGGTATAGTGTAAACGGGGCCTAATTAAGTTTTCCAACATTTTCCATCTCTTCAGCCTCAGTGCAGTATAGCTAACTCCCAACCAACAATTTTCAAATTTTAATTCACTAAGGGAAAGTACATTCATTATGGGGGGGTAAAGATTTCTTGAAAAAAGCTGATATTTTTATAGGGCCCCTGTTGGGGGATATTGGTGTATTTTCGATGCCCCCCCCCCTCCAAGTTTTTAAAATTTTCAATGTCCCCTCCCGAGAATCGGTAATCGAAGGAGTACACTCCGGAATTCTCTCATATCGCAGATACAAATTGCAGTTCCTCAAGAAGTCTGATATACTCAAGCACGTGTTTCTCCTCAACAAAAATACCGACTTGCTGCTTCTTTCACCTCACTATCGTCAGATGAAATGACACCGTCTTTACAAAACCGTTTTAGATTGGCTCTAGGGGCGAAATTATCAACAGCTTGTTGTTGTCCATCATTCAGCGTAGTCAGAGTCTTGAACATGTTCATGTAGTGGCCACGATTTCCTGGATCAGGGCAATGTGCTGGTACCCTAGAGAACCTCGCCCCCACCCAACGTATCTCCTGGTATCTGTTGCAAATTTCTTTGAATGCCTGTCAAAAATGCATGCAAAAGCGCCAGCCAGTATGCTTCAATTTCTTTAATTTTTATCCCGTTTGTACTAAATATCCCATGAACATAGAACATATCATTCTTACAAATCCTATGTTTTTCTTATTTTTGGAACTGCTACTTTTTGGCGGGTAAATTACGTCACAAACCTCGTGCCAAAAAATTAAAAATAAGCTATAGGTGATTTCATGTATCCATTTAGAAGAGCAGACTAAGGATATCTTGTTTGGGGGGGGGGGGATGTCAGTGGATTTTACTTCAAATTTGAATTTCAATGTTAAAAATTTACCTGAAGTGTAATAATTATAATAAAGCTTTTTGCGATTGATTTGCACTGTCATATTAAGTTTGGGGAGGAAAGGGGTCTGTGGGTCCTCCCACCCCCTAGGACTGAATTTCTGGCGTTTTCTATAGCAAATTTGCAAACAAATTGAATGTAAATTGAATGAATTTTACAAAAATGGTTATCATTTCACAAAAATAATTACTTTGTTACGCAAATTTTACCTGAAAATCAGTCAAAATTTAACATGAATTTTACATAATTTTTGCCTGAATTTACAGTAGAGGGGGGTTTACACCCCTCTCCCACACACCCCCGGTCGGTACGTTCCTGACAACCATTCCTTGCAAAGATATAATTACTTATGTTTCTAAAAATTCGCCTTTTTGTTTTATCTTTAGTAACAATATGGCGGATTTTTCGACATTTGTATTGCTATATCTTCCCATAAAATGGTTGTATTTAGAAACAGAATTCAGTTTTAAAGTACCCTTAGTCTGCTCTTCTAAATGGATTTATAAAATCCCCAATAGCTTATTTTCAATTTCTTGGCGCCAAGTTTGTGACGTAATTTTCCCGCCAAAAAGTAGCAATTCCAAAAACAAAAATGGATACGATTTGTAATAACGATATGTTCTATATTCATGGAAAATTAGGTAGAAACAGAATGAAAATTTCAGAATTCGAACTTGAAGCATATTGCTGCTTTTGCATCGATATTTTTAGGTATTCCATGTGGAGCTCCCCCATGCCGGTTAATATAGAATAGATGGTTTGGAAATCATTACAGAATAGCAATATAACTCATTATCTATGTTAGTCAACCTCTATGCATAAATGTGTTCCTTCACAGTCACGTGTGTATTATGTTTTTGACATGTCCACCAATAGCAATTTTCAATTTACCCTATTGGTTGAGTCATGGATAGGTAAGTTTCCTAAAACATTGCTATTGGCTAGTCGAGCAAAAATACAATACGCACGAGACGGTAAAAGACCAGATTTATGAATGTTATTGTTCACTAACATAGATATAATGAGTTATATTGTTATTCTAATGAGTTTCCAAACCATCTATTCTATTAACTATGGCGGGAGTGAACCAGTGAACTGAGTGAACACTCCAGGCCCCTGCTGGACCAAAACTTTGAAACGTTTATACTTTATAGCCCCCCCCAGTGTATCGAGAACTTTCATAGCTCCCCCCCTTTAATGCCAGAAAATATTTCGGTCCCTCCTAACATCTTCATCCCCCTAGGCATAATGAATGTACTTTCCTTAAGTCAATATTATTTAATCTTGTTCTTCTAAAATTTTCGTTTGTTGAGGAACGACATAAAATAAACCGTTTAATTTAATAAACGTAAAGTTTTGCACTTTTTAA